AAACCAGGAGCACGGCAGAATAGACCCCAAGAGCTAAGGAGCACGGCATAATAGGCCCCAAGAGCGAAAAAGACGCCAGAAAAAAGACCAGGAGCACGGCAGAAGATGCCCCAAGAGCTAAGGACGACGGCAGAAAAGACCGAAACACAGCAGAAAAGGCCCGAGGAGCCAAGGAGTACGACAGAAAAGACCAGGAGCACGGCAGAATAGGCCCGAAGAGCGAAGGAGCAAACCAGAAAACGACGAGGAGCACGGCAGAATAGAACCCAAGAGACAAGGAGCACGGCAGAAGATGCCCCAAGTGCGAAGAAGCACGGCAGAAAATGACCAGGAGCACGGCAGAATAGACCCCCAGAGCTCAGGGGCACGGCAGAAAAAGACCAGGACCACGGCAGATTAGACCTCAAGAGCTAAGGAGCAGGCAGAAAAAAAGACCAGGAGCACGGCAGATTAGGCCCCAAGAGCGAAGGAGCACGGCAGAAAAGACCAGGAGCATGGCAGAATAGACCCCAGGAGCTAAGGAGCAGGGCTGGATATGCCTCAAGTGCGAAGGAGTACGGCAGAGAAAAGACCAGGAGCACGGCAGGATAGACCCCAAAAGCTAAGGAGCACGGCAGAGAATGACCAGGAGCACGGCAGAATAGGCCCCACGAGCGAAGGAGCACGGCAGAAAAAAACAGAAGCACGCCAGAGTAGACCCCGAGAGCTGAAGGAGTGTGGGAACATAGACCCCACGAGCGAAGGAGCATACCAGAAAAAGACGAGGAGCACAGCAGAATAGAACCCAAGAGACAAGGAACACGGCAGAATATGCCCCAAGTGCGAAGGAGCACGGCAGAAACAAAAGCAGGAGCACGGCAGAAACAGACCAGGACCACAACAGAATCGGCCCCATGAGCGAAGGAGCACGTCGGAAACAAACCAGGAGCATGGCAGAATAGACTCCAAGAGCTGCCGAGCACGGCAGAAAAAAAAACACGCCAGAATAAACCCGAAGAGCTAAGGAGCACGGCAGAAGATGCCCCAAGTGCGAAGAAGCACGGCAGAAAATTACCAGGATCACGGCATAATAGACCCCCAGAGCTCAAGGGCACGGCAGAAAAAGACCAGGAGCACAGCAGAAAAGGCCCGAGGAGCCAAGGAGTACGACAGAAAAGACCAGGAGCACGGCAGAACAGGCCCGAAGAGCGAAGGAGCAAACCAGAAACCGACGAGGAGCACGGCAGAATAGAACCCAAGAGACAAGGAGCACGGCAGAATATGCCCCAAGTGCGAAGAAGCACGGCAGACAATGACCAGGAGCACGGCATAATGGACCCCCAGAGCTCAGGGGCACGGCAGAAAAAGACCAGGACCACAGCAGAATAGACCCCAGAGCTAAGGAGCACGGCAGAAAAAGACCAGGAGCACGGCAAGATAGGCCCCATGAGCGAAGGAGCACGGCAGAAACAAAAACAAAGAGCACGGCAGACTAGACCCCAAGAGCTGAGGAGCACGGCAGAATAGGCCCAAAGAGCGAAGGAGCATGACAGAAAAAAAACAGGAGCACGGCAGAATAGACCCCAAGAGCTGAGGAGCACGGCAGAATAGGCGCCAAGAAAGAAGGAGCATTGCAAAACACGACCAATGACCAGGAGCACGGCAGAATAGACCGCGAGAGCTAAGGAGCACGGCAAGATATATGCAAGACAACAGCATAATACGCCCCAAGGAAGAAGGAGTATGCAAGACAAACACAAGGAGCACGGCAGAATAAACCCCGAAAGCGAAGGAGCACGGCAGAATATGCTCCAAGAGCTAAGGAGCACGGCAGAAAACGACCAGGAGCAGAGCAGCATAAGCCCCAAGAACAAAGGATTGTGACATAAAATGGCCAGGAGCATGGCATAATAGGCCCGTAGAGCGAAGGAGGACGGCACACAAAAAACGAGCATTGCAGAATAGACCCCGTGAGCGAAGGAGCACGGCAGAATTGCTCATTCTCTGCCTTGCTCTTTTTTTCGCCAGCCATGCTCCGCCCGATTGTTTGAGGATGTATGCAGCGAGAGCGCGATGTTTAACACGAGAGGTAGTACAACGCCACTCCAAGATATCATTTGGGTTAGGATGTCTCAGGCGAGACGCTCGTTTTTGAACATCTGTCGAATTCGCGGCTTCCCATGTTTAAGGGATGTCTCAGGCGAAACGCTCATGTTTGATGAAATCGATGTTGTGAACAGTTCATTGTTGTAAAGATGTCTCAGGCGAAATCGCCATTTTGGATCGTCTCGAGGGCGCTCCTGGGGGTCACATTTGGGCTTGTTTGGGGCCTTTGGGGGCCTTCTTGATGCCTTACAAAACCGTTACAGTCCGATGTTACACACATTCATTTTTTTCAGGATGTCCCTAGCGAAATCGTCATTTCTAGATGACTGGCTTAAACCATCTAGAAGCCTTTTCAGGAGCGATCCCAAGACGATGTTAAAACAGCAGTTTTCAAAACGATGTTGTTCGATGTGTTATTTTGTTGAAGATGTCACTAGCGAAATCACTATTTTCAGCAACCTTAAGGGCGCTCGTGGAGCCATGTTGTGGCCTTCTTTTGCTTCCTGATGCCCTCCTGAAATCATTACGATGCGATGTCGCACGCATCAATTTTTTGAGGATGCCCCTACCGAAATCGACATGTTTTGAAGGCTGTCTTGGGCCGTTTGGAAGCCTTTTCAGAAGCAAAGTCAAAACTATGTAAGAACAACAGTTTTCAAGTCGATGCTGGTGTATGTTTTCACTTTTTTGAGGATGTCCCTAACGAAATCGCTATTTTCGGAAGTCCCCCAATCGTTATGACAGCCATCTTGACGTGCTTTTTGGCCTCTCATTTCGTCATCTTGAGGTACTTCGAGAACGATATCAAGACGACGTTGAGGACATCTCATTTTGTTGAGGATGTCCCTAGCGAAATGCAAATTTTCTGCCGTGCTCTTCGTTCTGGTCCGCCGTGCTGCCGCTCGTTTTCTGAGGATGTCCCTAGCGAAATCGCAATTCTTAACATAAGAGTTAGTTAAAGACTTCAGTCGTCATCTCATTTTTTCGAGGGTGTCCCGAGCGAAACGCACATGTTCACAGACGGCGACATTTCGCTGTCATCAACTGTTCGAGGATGTCTCGAGCGAAACGCTTGTTTTTGTTAAACGCGATGTCGCGGAGATCTCATTTTTGTGAGGATGTCTAATGTAAAATCGCCATCCCGAGGAATCCGCTAAGCCTGCATACCGTGCGACCCGCCACCCCCTGTAGTTAAGAGATCTCTTACTGATATGAGGAGGATTCAGCCAAAACATCCAGTTCGCTTCTCGTTCCTCGAAGACGCTTCCCGTCATCTCTTACTGATACGAGGAGGATTCAGCCAAAACGTCCAGCTCGCTTCTCGTTCCTCGAAGACGCTTCCCGTCATCGGCCGACCCCTCGTGGAACTCTAGGCGTGTGAGACTATTCCCCCCCATACCAGAGGGTTCCAAAGGAGGTTTTTGGGGAGGGGGCTTTCCAGGAGGGGTCCCCCAGGGGCTTCGCACCCCCTGTTTTGACGAGGTTCCGAGGCCCCTGGGGGGCTCTTTGGAAAACCCCCTCCCCAAACACATCCTTTGGAACCCTCCGGCCATAATCCCCCCCCCAGGGAGGACCCCGCACTGGGACTTTGAACCCCCCACTGGGCCCTGGACGGCCCCGGACCGAACTCACCCGGGGCGGTCTGGGCTCTCTGGGCTCGCTCTTGAGCTGGCCTCGCAGGAGGCCCCTACGAGGCCAGAATCATGAAATACCCGTGGGCCTTTCAGCCTTCACGGCGTTAACAACCGTCCAAGAGGCCCCCGGGACCTCCCCCAGGCGGCCTAAGAGGCTCCCAAGAGGCTCCCAAGACGACCCAAGAGGCGCCCAAGACGGCCCAAGAGAGCCCCAAGACGGCCCCAAGAAGGTCCCAAGAGAGGGACTCCGAACTGAAAATCCGAGCCTTCGGCCCAATGAGGCTCCCAGGAGGACCCAAGAAGCCCCCAAGAGGCCCCAAGAGGCCCCCATTACACACCCAAGAGGCCCCACGAGGACCCCAAGGAGCCCCCAAGAAGCCCAAAAGAGGCCCCAAAACGGCTCCCAACAGCCTTCGAAACTGCCCCGAAGAGGCCCACGAAAAACCTCGCCACGAGATTCCAAAAGGACATCCCAGAGCGTGTCAAACACTGCCCAGAAACTGAAATATTCTCACTACTTGTCATCGCCCCGAGGTCAGAACTGTGCCCGAGAGGTCGCGGACAGCAGTCCCTGGACCCGCCCCCGTAGCCCAAACGCATTGTTTTTTCGAGCCGCGTGAAGCCGCGGCGACGAGCAAGGCCCCCGAAGGCGGGTCCAGAGCCGTTGACCCGTTGTCCCCCCAGTGGTCTGGCTGTGGTGCGGGTGTCCCGCCGTGGTGTGATTCAATCGGTGTCCCAATGGTGTCTCGTCGCGGTGGGCGGGCGGTGTCCCGTCGGTATCCCGTCGGTGTCCCGTCGGTGTCCCGTCGGTGAGATCGATAGTGAGATCCGCCGACCCCTTGTGGGCCTCCAGGGGCGTGAGATTGCCCCTTTGAATCCCCCCCCCCAGGGACCTCAAACCGGCAATTGGACCCGTCCAAAAGGGCCCCGAGTCGCCGAAAAGTCGCTCCAAGATGCCCAGGAAGGCCGCCGACGAATCAATGGGGTGGGCGGATGTGGCGCAAGCCTGTAGAATCGTCGCAAAAACTGTAAGAACAGCCGAACCGCGCTCGCAAAGTGAGAGAACAGCCGAGCCGCGCTTCGCAACATTGAAGAGAACAGCCAAACCGCGCTCACTGGAGCGCACCTCCCGAGGCGCCGAAACCTCCGAGAACCAACGAAAACGCCGGAACAGAACCTCGCGGCCCCGCCGCCGAAAGCCACCGCGGGGCGCCGAAGGCCGCCGAAGGCCGCCGAAAGGCCGCCGAAGGCCGCCGAAGGCCGCCGCGGGGGCGGCGCCGCCTCCGGCATGGCTACCGGAGGGCCGTCCGCGGCACCGCGGTGGCGCTGGGCGGCCAGCCTGGCCAGCGGCGCGCCCCCGCGGTGCTCGGCCGTGGCCATGCGGCGCCCAGCTTCTCGAATTGAAAAAAACAAGAAACATGTGTTGTTTGAATCCTGGCTTGTTGGTCCCAACAACAATTCAAAAACTTCGTGAATCAAACAAATCTTTAAAAAAAAAAAAAAAAATCAAGTGTTGTATTTGAATCCTGGGTTGTTGGTCCCAAAAACGATTCAAAACACCTTCCTCGGCACTGCTCGTCCTCCTGCTCCTGCTCCCGCTCCTCCTGCTCCTGCTCCTGCTCCTCCTGCTCCTGCTCCTGCTCCTGCTCCTGCTCCTGCTCCTCCTCCTGCTCCTCCTGCTGCGCGTCCTCCTGCTCCTGCTTCGGCTCCTCCTGCTCCTCGCTCACCGCTACTCCGTCGTGCCGGCCCATTTCGAGCAACCCTGGCTCGCCAGCCGCGCCGCGCCGCCCCCAGCTGGATCGCTCGGCGGCCGAGTGGTGCGCGCAGTACCACAGGGCCGACGGTCGCGCGATGGAGCGCCTGCTGGCCAGCAGTGAGGCGCAGCCACTGAGGAAACCGCTACCAGCCAAGCTGGCTACAGATTGCATGCATCATCCACGCGATGGCGTGAGCCAAGCTGACAAACCCGAGCAGCCTAGCGCAAAGCCAAAGCAGCCTCGACAGGCGCAGGCAGGGAAGCAGCGCGCACCGCAGACGCTGGGGAGGGAGAGGGGCGGAGCCGGCGAAGAAGCTGGAAGGCATGCCAAGAAACGGCGCGGAGACCCGCAAGAGAGCATGGCGGGACAGAGCAGCTAGAACGAGCGCCAGGCCGAGACAACCGAGATGGTACAGACACGCCCGATTTGGCAGGCACGCGCGGCGTAAAAAAACTGCATGGTACACGTACACACACACACACGCACGCACGCACGCACGCACGCACGCACGCACGCACGCACGCACGCACGCACGCACGCACGCACGCACGCACGCACGCACCACGCACGCACGCACACACGCACGCACGCACGCACGCACGCACGCACGCACGCACGCACGCACGCACGC